TCTTCCTCGTCATGTGGCCGAGCTGCACTCGCCGAGGAGGAGTGGCAGATGGGCGTTCCAGACCTCGCCGTGTTCCGGGAGGGATGGTCCCGTCGGTAACGGTGCGGCCGCAGCTGACCTCGGGTCACAGCGAGGAGGCGGGTCAGGACATGGGGATGGGCTCGCATCACTGGTGGACGCCTCATAAGCGCAAGCCTGTGCAACGGACGCGTGCACAGCGGCGAAACTCGCGCCCGTCACGGATGGAGGGAAGCCGCCTTACAATCAGAGTGTGGTGATGTGTTGCATTGCCGCTGACAGCCCTGGCCAGAGAGACAATGGCGAGGCCGTGTCAGTGACGTCCTGGGAACGCCCAGCCCCACGTTCTCTGTGGCACAGGGGAATCCGGTGTACTGGATCTCGATCGTGAGCAATTTTGGCGCCGTTTAATGTCAATTGTCGAGCAGATAAAGACGGCAGCTGTTGTGACCTCATTTCCACAATCGAAAAGAGCTCGCGCCTCGAAATGCCGGTAAAAGTCGCCGCTGGCCCCGCGCCCGTATATGAATCACTGAACAGTTGCAGGCTACCTGCGCCGCCAGAGATTTCTCCTGCTGCCGAGAAGCGCTGACACGGAACTCATGTCGAAACACTGAAGAAGTGATGACGTCACTAGAGTCCGGTGCGTTACCCCTGACAACGAACCTGAATTTAACGGATGCATTTGGCGCCCAAAACGACGATGAATCGCGACAGAGGTACTCTGTTTTGTAAAAAAAATATATATTTACTGCTTGCGACATTCGCAGCGATAGTGACTTAACTAACTGGCTGCGCGCCTGGAGATTGTATTTTCATGGCTCATTGGTTCGGTCTCATTGAATGACGAACGCTTCCTGAAAACGCGTTCCACTCTTCCGCCTCGGGGCTTTCACCACGCTAGGCATGATTCAAAGCGATCAGACGAATCCAGAGGCCCCAATTATTGATGTGTTTTTGCCTCGCCTATCGATCCGATCGGGGGCCTGTTTTTTGGCGCCAGCCAAGCAGCACTGAATAGCAGTCCACGAGTGCCAGAGCCAACCGAGCAACAGTCAAGGCAACTGGCTAGACTAACCGATCTGTGACCGAGAGCGGCGATGGAGCCGGCCTGGGAGGAATCGGACCGGAGTGGCCGGACCGGACCGGACAGGGCCGGGCAGGACTGACGGCACCGGACCGGGACGTCCGGGCCCCCCAGACTGGAGGCAAGCCTGCCCCCGGCGCAGGGGCCGGAGAGCAAGAGGTGGCGCTGGCTGCGGAACTCTCGCGAGGCGCTCCACCGTGACGGAGGACTGCGTCACGTCGGTAACTTTCCTAAGCTCTCGAGTGGAGCGTGACGGTGCGGAGTGGCGCGCCGCAGGCAGTCACGAGCTGCAGGGTCGTTTGGAGCTGATATGCCTGTCCCACTGTTCCTGGCAGCGCAGCGTCTATTAGAGAGCTCTTCCACCCTCCAAAAAGCAGCCACCTGATGCAAGCGTGCCTCAGGCTAAACGGGGAAATGAATGACTCTCAAATATGGCGAATACAATCACTGAGTTTCTCTAGAAGCGAAATTCTGCTGCGTTTCCGTATCGTGTTATCAAATGCTAATCGATATGTCAGCGGTTTGGAGGAAGCCGCCATCCACATTTTGAAGCCATCACAAAAGCCCTATGCAATGCATATTTGAGATCGATAACCGGTCTTTCACGTTACACTAGAAAGTGAACCGGTGTCACCCCGCGCATACGATAAGCAAGTTATTTTGATTAAATTTCCAGCATAAAAAGCTGTTTAATGCCGTGAACAGAATGTTTCGCTTTTAGAGTGACTTCAGATATCCCAGTGCGACAGTTGCCATCAGTGCACTGACAGGGAGCCTGTAAAGGGCAGCTCCTGGCAAAGACCAACCAATTTGCCGTCATGTGTTGGGGCAAAGTTGTGGTGCTGCTGATGTAACTGAATGCGTCTCATGCACCAGATGGTAGCTGGGGACGTTTGATTAAAATTATTTGGGAACAAGCCTACTTTGATCGGCTTGTATTTCAACCCTTTATGGCCAAATTCATTTGAAAGCAAAGAGCATTGTAAAGTATGTTTTGACCGCAGAATGGTTTATAGAATCTGTTTTCTCCACCAAGTACATATCTTTCATCCTTTTTAGAGGTGCTGGGCAAGAACGTCATTGGAAGAGCCTTTACGGTGAAAAGCTTTCATGGTCTGCTGAACAACCGTCCGTTTACCCGGAAGGTGATGATTTGTATTCTATGTGCTCGGACAGGCCGCATGTAAAGCACCCGACGTTATTTGATTCCACAGCTGTCCCTAACTCAGTAATAGTCAGGTGCACGGAAGTCATAAGTCCCCCCTGCATGTTGCACCTTTCAAGAATCCCTTCCTGATGGACCGACGTCACCACGCCCTCAGACCGCCGGCGGCTGCTCCTCGGCTCCTCCAGCTCGCCCCTGGCCGGGCGGCTGGGACGACAGCCTCACCCGCACGGCGGACCGCCCCGGCCGGCGGCGGCGGCCAAGGCTCCAGCCTGCGGCCTCGTGCGGGTGGGAATGCGCCGCGTGCTCCGTGGCTCGTCTAACGGCACCCGAGAGGCCGACGGGGCGGCCGGCGGCCGGCGCCGAGGGGAGGCTCCGCTGGTCAGAGGGGTGCAGGAGTAGGGCACCACGGGCAACTTAAAGGTGAGGTAAGGTGGGACTGGCAGAGGCTCGACTAGAGGCTACGGGCTTCCTAGGCAGTTGCTTTGTTCAGTGATGGATTGTGTTGGAATGACGCTAATCTAGGAGGTAATGCGGCCTTCTGTGATAGATGATGAGCCAATAAATATCGCCTGATAAAACATGATGTATGAGAAACTCACAGGCACCACTGCATCTTCTGACATTCTTGCGCCCCGTGTAAAGCATACGGCCTCTTCAAAGCATGAGCGAATAATACGATTTCAAATGCCTCGAGAGCAGAGGGTGATCACGTCCGACTTCATCTCAGACTGCATTTCCTCACAGCAGCCTAGCCCACACAGAGACTATATTTTTTCACAGGATGCTAACCCGCAGCGGCGACTACTCCGTCGCAGCACTGCCCCGTCCTCAGTTACAAACGGGAAGAATCGATGCAGAGCAGTTTAATTTTGTTTAAAGATTCGATCCGAACCCTTTGAATGGATGGATTTCTAGGAGCTCACGTTGAGCAGTGCTTGTGTGAGCCCTGACCCCTACCACCCGATCACGCAACTCCATGTCCACGGCAGCATTTTGTGGTGAAAGCTTAGCGTGCCGCACTGCTCGGCACGGTCCGTCCTACCCTCTGATGTCAACTGACCTTCAGCGCGACCACTGCCACCGGCCGCAGGTCACACCTGTCAAGGGCCAACAGCGAGCGCCCTAAAGCGACTCGAACCCACCCCGCCACGGGTGGGTGGATCGGAAGGCAGACGCTCTAACCACGTGGGCCACTGGGACGGCTTTGACGGACGTGGACGGACGGACAGTTGGCATTACTTGCAACCGACAGAGCTCCAGTAAAAAGGCGCCACTCCTGGAGACCGCCTCCGTCAGCTGAAGGATAGCGCGTGAATTGGGACCGGCGGCAGCGGCCGGCACGCGCCGCCGAGCAAGTGTCACCGAGCGCCGCGGGCGAGTCCATTACGCCGGACGGGTCCATTCGAGGCGGCCGGTGGCCAGTGGCCGGCGCGGCCCGGTGACGGCGGAAACTGGCAACGTCAATTTCTCATTAGGCGCCGGCTGGCTGCGGCCGGCACAGAAAGCCAGCGAGCCGGCGCGACCGCCGCCTCTCGGCTGCCGCAGATAGCGGTGGCGGAGCGCCGCGCCGCCGCCGCCGCCGACGACGACGACGACGACGCCGCCATATGCTCGGCGGAGGCTAATGAGGAGATGAGGAGACAACTGGGCAACGCTCCCAGCGGAATGTCTGTACACTGATAAAGGATGCAGGCTGATTTACGGCAAAAGCGCGACGCCAGATGGTCCAGGTTTGTTCTAATTGTGTCGGTATCATGCAGAAGTTTCCGGCTAAATTTACCAGTCCAAACGAAGCCGCACGTAGTCCACCAGGCTTTGGCAGTGTAAGAGATGAGCGATAAGCTAGCATGCGTAGTAGTGTGCATATTCTGAATAGAACACCAGATAATCATAGTTACTTTGCAGAGGTGCCACAAACGAAGACACAACACGAGTGGGTGCCCGCGCGTGCACGCCTCAAGCACCTTCGACGCGGTAAGCCAGTGTTGTCGCGGTTTTGGCGGTCAGTTATCAATGGGACACCTCATCATAGATGCAACAGTCCCGTTCACATCGGATAGGCTGTGAACGGTAGCACTATGAAGGGATATGAAATCCAGACCTTCACGGCACGAGAAAGCGCGATGTGAAAGGGGTTTGACGGTCTTATGGTCGGTGAGGTGGGCTGCTTGTTCCAGGGCTGTTCCTGGGTTGGAGGTAAAGGGGGAAAACGGAGGAACACAATGCTTAAGTATATTGTATATAATAAGTATATATAAGTATATATAAGTATATATTACCTTGTATACAGTATCTCTCGGGCATTATGGGTTTTACATATTTGTATCTGTGCTTTAATGCCAGCTAGTTCTGAGCGGGAACGCCACAAGTGGCCACTTTATTCTTGGATCCACCAATCGTCGGGCAATGAGAAAAATGAAGCAAAGGCAATGACTATCCTTTACTCACATTACCTCAAGACTGAGGTTGTGTAGGCACTTTGTACGTGAACCCAGCCACAACTGTCTGTATTTCTAGGATGTTTGGTTGATACAGATGAATTCTTGTCACCGGCGAGTAATAGCAAAAATTAACGCTTGGAAGCATTTCGAGAACATTTTTTATATACGAGCCCGGAGCGGGAGCTTTCTAATACCTTGCGAACAATCCCAGTGCCCCTCCCCTCCCACCCTACCACTATCGCCATCCCCAGCAGACCGCCCCGCGACCCCGGCACTCAACACTCACCGCAGAACGGAATGCCGGCCGGCGCCCACGTGCTGTTGCCTTGGCACTCCTTCCTGGCCGGTCCGAGCAGCTCGAAGCCGCGGTCGCACGTGTACGTGGCGACCGTGCCGACTCCGATGGCGTCCGTCGAGAACGTGACCGTGCTGTGCGCCGGCGCTCCCGGAAATCCGCACCCGCAGGCTGAAACGGCGACACGGGGCGCTGTCAGTGGGCGTACAGCCGGCTGGGTGGCTATCGCCAGCGCCTGCGGACCGGGCTGTTGGCTGAAGTTTGTTGCTCATTGGACATGAATTGAGGCGTGAAAGGAACTTGACGGCATATGAACATTGGTTAGGTGGTGCCTCAAGTACTAACGCCTCACCATCTGCGCTGGAAAGCGTTGGCAGAAGGGATGGACACTTCTGGATGAGCTTCCCCTCATTATCACACAGAGTTGGGTGGTTGTTAAGTGCCGTGCGAACGTCCACAACACCGGAGAACTGTTGGCTCCGCTTAGCGTGAGCGTGACTACGTTTTGGCACTCCGCAAAACGGGAGCGTTTTTCACGCGACCGCAGGCGGCCGCACTGTGCACAATAAACACGCAATCCGACCCGAGCGTGGCCAGCGACACGTTGGTCCGTAGCGAGTGACACACATGGTGCGCGTGCATTGTGAACGATTTTCCACGCCGTCACTGCCGTGGTGTGGACCTGAGGCACTTGCTGACCGCATTAACGCTATATTACCGACGGTGGCGCCGACAGAGGGTTCACGGCCATTGGCAGTGGTTATGACTTCGACGTTGAAGTGAACACCACTTGGCTAACCCCCACCAAATTGTGCGCAACGATACAAATAAGGAGCCGTGCGTGATCGGATTCAACTAGTGGTCCTCCCGTCCTCGGCGGATTTGAAGGAGGCCCTGCCGAGCACTTCTCGTGCAGTGAACAAGCTGGTGCCGGTGAAAGTGGAGCAAAAACCGGACCGGACGTCAGCACCAGCGGGCCACGCGGTTTTTGCCCAGCTCTAGCCTGTTAGCTGTGTGTTCAGAGGCAGGCACCCTAGCGCCAGTATTGCCACAATGCGGCAACTGAAAGTGCAGAAATACGAATAACCTTGCGGTAGGCGTACTTCAGATCAATCATAGATAAACCCTTCCCTTTGAATAAGTCCCTGGTCAATGCTCTAAAAGTCGCATTAGCACCATGATATATCCACATGACGTAGGTTTTCAACATATGTTGTCTTAAAAGTGTGTGCGGCACGCAGCAAACTTAGAATATATTTATGTCACAAACCGGCACCAGTGCAAGGCATCATCACTTACCTAGGCAAAACAAGGAAAGGGTGCATAGTTTAAGAGCGATATGAATGCAAGTGATCGGCCTCTACGTCCGTTTCAAATAATTTATTATTTATGCATTCAACTTTTTACCAACTATAATGATATGAAAATTCGAAAAAAAAACAGCCTAACGTAGACGAGATATTAGCCTGTCGTGTGAAACTGTTATAGCTAGCCTTTTTGAGCTTTTTCTCTCCCCAATATCGTCGTTATCAGTCAACGAAAGGACAACAAATGTCCCATAAGACAATGAGTGCAATGATCACTCTTCCTGTATGGCTTCACATTAACAGATGTTGAGCTAGGTATGATTTTGAAGTGCTTGGCTGTCGCCTTTATTGGCAAGCAGTGTGGATTTCTTTGCTGTCTTTAGATCACTCCGACATCAACCATAGTAAGCATAAGTGAACTTGCAGAAAAACAGACAGAGACAGGAAAGGGAAAAGGAAGAGGGGAGAAAGAGAGAGCGAGAGAGAGAACGAGAGAGAGAGAGGAGAGGAGAGGGAGAGAGGGAGGGAGGGAGGGAGGGAGGAGGGAAGGAGAGAAGGGGACGTAGAGATAGAGAAGAGAAAAGCTTTGTCACGCACCACGCTGATGACTCTCGCCGCGGCGCATGACCGTTCTCTTTTCTTCTCATTAGTAGCTCTCCCTCGGGCATCTGGCCTGGTCACAGCCGCTTTAGTGCACTTATGGTCGGCTTGGTACTAGCTGATCAAACCTGTTATGCTGTGTGTTTCATGTGCCGGCCCAAGCAAAATATTTCGTCCCTCGATAAATTCGTTCATGTAAATAACTCAATAAAACATGACCAAAATATTGACAGAAGGTGATGGCCTTAACTCAATTTAAGCAGCTGCAAACAAATCTACGTTATTTGACTTTGGTATTCGGTATTAGCTGACATAGTTGCGTATCAATGACATATTCCTTGTGACCATTCCCTTTCGTTCAAGTTGTTGTAATATTGCAGTCATTGTATGCATATGTTCTCTTAAAAGTCATTTTATCCACGCTTGCTGATATTCACTTCACGTCCGTCGGCGCGCAGAAGCGCATTTTCAAATCCACTCTTCGCTGAGCATCGGCTCACAGGCGAGGGGTGGTGACGCCGCCCGACCAGTCCGTGGTCATACGGACGCAGGCGAGGGTGGTGACGCCGCCCGACCAGTCCGTGGTCATACGGGCGCAGGCGAGGGTGGTGACGCCGCCCGACCAGTCCGTGGTCATACGGGCGCAGGCGAGGGTGGTGACGCCGCCCGACCAGTCCGTGGTCATACGGACGCAGGCGAGCGGTGGTGACGCCGCCCGACCAGTCCGTGGTCATACGGGCGCAGGCGAGGGTGGTGACGCCGCCCGACCAGTCCGTGGTCATACGGGCGCAGTCGGCAGCGGACACCTGCCGCCGGTGGTCATTAGAGCTGCCGAAAAACTCGGCCGGCGTGCGTGTAGCGCCGCGGCCGGGGTGCGAACGGGCGCCGCGCCGCCGCCGCCGCCGCGCCAGATGACGCCGCGCGCCACCAACGCGGAAACGGCGCGGCGACGCGACAGCTGTGCGCTCGTTCACTGACCCATTGGAGCTGGCTTGCCAGCGGCGGCGGCGGCGGCGGCGGTGGCCCTCTCACGGCGCCGGTGAAGCTCGCTACGGCCCGCTGCGGGGAACCGCGCAGACTGGGGCAGCGGTCCCGAGGCGGGGCACGGGACACTCCGGCGTACTCAGGCTCAGCACGGCGCGCTGACGGTGCGAACGGGGCACTTGATGCCGTCAGACGCGGTAGGCGACGCTGTCACTTCACCGCGGCGTCGCGAGCCGAGCGCGGAATACGCCGTCACTGGCAGCGCGGTGTTTTGAAGCGCTGGCAATCGAACCCTTCCTCCGTTCAATCGAAGTGTGCCATCCATCAAAGGCCTCATAGCCGGGGGTGGGCCTCAGACAGTCCCGGACGGCCTCGCCCAGGAGGCGTCGGCCCGCTATGAGGTTACGGGAACTGTAATGGACCCCAGCTGCTGCCACCGCTCGGCCCGAGGAGCCAGCACCGCTACGCCGGTGCGGAGGACTGCACTCCCACGTTCGCATCTGGCGCCGGTGAGGCTTTGGCAGCAGCTCGTTATCGCATCGCCCCGAGGTCGCGGCAAGCCGGCCGAGGACAGCCGGCAGGCGCGGCGTGTCAGGCGCGTGGCCGCGCGGAGGAGCTCGCAGCCGTCCACTCGAACTCGCGTCTCGTGCGCGTGCCTTCCGACTGCGGGACGGGTGGGCCCTCTCGTGCCGGGACGGAGTGCGGCTGCCAGGGAGCTCGATGCGAGGACATCGTTTATATGACGGGGAAAACTGGCCGTGAGGAGGCGTGACACGGATCGATGTCGGGATGTGGGAAAAGGCGATGACGGAGAGTCTCCCGGAGAAGAATGGCGGTCACTGACCGCGCTGACGAGCAGAGGCAGCTGCCGTGGCATATGGTGTCAAGGTGTATGGCTGAGCCCCAGTGGCTGGCTCACACAAAACAAACAGAGTCTCGGGGCGATGACCGAGTGTAGAATGAGTACGGCTTGTTGGCTTCGACGACAAACACATATAAGTGTTTGGTTGCGACTGTAGGATTTCGCTTTGAAGACGTGATAATTCGGGTTTTCCTCACGACGAAGTTCGGAACCCTTGATTAGCGTGACGCAGATGTCCCAACCGAAATCCTATTGGGGTGTCCAGATTACCTGGCTTACATTTACTTTAATTCACAATTGCCAGAACTTCAGAGTGCATTCGCCTCTGCACGAAACAATGCGACCAGCATGTCGGAGGAGTCGCCAGCGTTTGCAAGGTGCGCAGAACGATTAACGGCCTCTCCTCAGGCCAGAGCAGCCGACGGCTCATGCGTCGGGGTGGAGCGATCGACCGTGTCGAGTGGGAGTGACCGTCCGTCGTCGCCTTCGGCTACAGCGAGCGAATTGCTTCGTGCACGGGCTCAGCGACCGACCACAGCCGCTCCAGGCTTGTACGGAGCATGCAATTTTAGACCGCGATGAGGCACCGTCTGTGAGAGCGGTGGTGGAGTTGGAGGAAGCGCATTTCTGCTGTCACTTTCTGCTGTCACTGAAGTTTTCACTGTTTCTGCTGTCACTGAAGCGCATTTCTGCTGTCAACAGTACTTCGCACCGCCGTGCCGCACCGCCGTGCCGGTATGGCATCAACGAGGGTAGATGCCAACATCAACAAGGGTAGATACCAACATCAACAAGGGTAGATACCAACATCAACAAGGGTAGATGCCAACATCAACAAGGGTAGATACCAACATCAACAAGGGTAGATACCAACATCAACAAGGGTAGATGCCAACATCAACAAGGGTAGATACCAACATCAACAAGGGTAAATACCAACATCAACAAGCGTTAATGCCTGCCACTCGTGTGCCGAGGGCGAGTGAACCCAGTGCTAACCCCAGTGCTAAACACCCCACAAGTAAAAACCTCTGAAGAAGCCCCCATGTAGACTGAAGTGACACAACTGCTATTTGGCAAGGTTTGCGACGCAGTCCCATCATCCCTTCCGCCGATTGTACAGGAAAAGCAGGCGAACAGAACCCCTGACTGAGGCTGAAGGACGTTCAATGCACTGTCCAATCCACCGTGGGAAGAATTCAGCGTAGAGTCGCGCCCACCTCTAGCTGCTGCGTGTACCCCACCCCCACCCCCCCCCGTGACCACGCCGCGACGGTGCGGCGTCAACAAGCGTAGATGCCAACATCAACAAGGGTAGATACCAACATCAACAAGCGTAGATGCCGACATCAACAAGCATTAAGGCCGGCCGCTCGTGTGCCGAGGGCGAGTGAGCCCAGTGCTGAGGTCGGACGCCGGGCACGCAGATGGGCTGGAGGGAGTGGGGTGGTGCGGGCGGAACAGAAGGTCGGGCTCCGGGCCAGGGCATCGACCGATCCCGCACCCACTCGCACCAGGCGTGCATGGCCCAAACAGACATGGCACAAAGCCCGCTTTGCTGAATCGCAGGCTGGCGACTGGTTCAAAGGCAGGAGTAAGCATCAGTGGTCCATATTTTGGTATACCTGTGGAGGTGTCATGCCTTTTCTAACCTGGTAGGAATGACACTGTGCCTAGATCCTGACTGCTTAAGCCCTTCTCAGTTTGCATCGCTGTCAGTTTTTGCATCCGCGAAAATGTAGAAAGCGAGCTTACGTTTCTAACCAAGTTTGTTTCACGACTGCGATGGAATACCACAGAGAACCTCACTCTCGGGACAGTTTGTACCCTTTAAAAACCTACCATAAAGAGACAATCTGCACATAAAGAACAAAATTACCTGTGCAGGATAGCTTAATTTCCTTCCGATTCTCATCAACTCTGACAAAATCAGCCGACCGTTACTCCAAAAAAGAGCTAGCCTTTTTGTGGCGACAGGCTCGGTTGTTCTGTCCGCAAATTCAATCCCCAGATGGTCGCGCACCTAAAGCCGAATGAGCGCCACTAGTGTCTCGCAGGCGGCAGCTAATCCGACGCGCATTCGTCGCGTCTCGGCACTCGCACAAACACAACAGACGGCGCTGCCGGCGTGGCCAATCGCAAGAGGAACGAACTCCAGCCGCGGGCCAGGCAACGGTTCGTTGACACGGCCGCGGGCGGCAGCCCCTCAGCTTCGGGGGAGAGGGGCGCCAACCCTGCGGCGGTCCCTCCTGGATCGAGCGGGCGTCGCCAAACAGGTACACCAGACGGGTGTCACAGCAGCTGAAGTAGCTTGCCTCGCACCAACCGGTCCGGCCCACTCCCAGGCTCGGGGACCGGCCCGCGCCGAGGCTCGTGGAGCAGCCCGTGCCGAGGCCCGGGGACCGGCCCGTGCCGAGGCTCGGGGACCGGCCCGTGCCGAGGCTCGGGGACCGGCCCGCGCCGAGGCTCGGGGATCGGCTCGCGCCCTCCGGCCCGCGTAGCGTTGGCCGAGCCCCGGCGTTGTTTACCGACTGGTGCCAGTCGGCATGTGCCGAGGCAGACTGGACAAGTAACGACTGCCAGCTAATGACGCCACGCTGGCCCGGCCGGACGGACGCGGGCGCGACCCCGCGCGACCCCGCGTCGCGCTCGCTCATGGCCGTTTCTGGTGTCGCGCGCAGCCCGGCTGACCACCTTCGCGCCTTTTCACCGCCCTCGATCCCAGGTGTGTCGCTAGATAAGCACTGGCGACTGGAAGTGTAGAGTATAAAACCGGTCACCTCAATGGTTTTGAAGAAGTGAGTATTAAAATAACATAATCGAGCGATGGCTCAGGCAAATCTGCAGCATTGCGTAATGAGAAGACTACATCCAAAGAAAAGGAGGTATGATGCCTTGTCTGTTGTGTCACCCATTGTCGTTGCTCGAAGCTATTGCACGACTTACTCTGAAGGGTTCAAATCTTCGAGGTGAAATGAAGCTAGTTTATATCTTATGGTCCATAAGTATGAATTGTCGGCACTTTTTACCGACATAAATAAATAACTACGTCAAAACACATCACATTTTTCGCTTAAAACAGCATGCTCAGGAACTAACAGTTGTTCAAGTTTCATTAACTCGCGTCACGTCACTTAACGTCTCGCACTAACGACAAAGGCAGAATGTCGGTACAGATAGATATCCATCAAAAAGAGAATACCATGACAGACAGCCATCAACGGCATGAAATGAGCTGACGTCAAGTTCACAAAAATATGGTAGATTTGATAGTTTCAACCAGCAATCAACGAACTGGGAGGGAGGGAATAAGGGGAACTCGCCAAGTTTCCGAACTAACCTTGAAATCGTTCCAGGTAGCCTCACAGTGGCCCAACATGCAGTAATCGTGCTGCTGGGTACTCAAGGGATGCTACTTCGCAGCTGTTCATCATACCCGAAAGCACATTGTTCACTTCTAAATTATTTGCCAGGATTTACCGTTTGATGTAGTCCGCTGGTCTATAACAATAACAGGTGCGCGCAGAAGCCACTTTGCTAGTGAACAGCGCCGAGCAATTCGCTAACGACGCAGCGATTGTGCAGCAAACAGCCGACAACGTCAACTCTTTGCGGCCCTGAACTGTAGGTCTTTCCAAAGAACGAGTTTTTCGCTACCGCCGTGTTCAACGCTTCAGTTACATTTCAGCAGGCACTAGGTCGTTGTCAGCGCACTGGGGCATCGTGTCAAAACTGGGCCAGCGTGCTGAGCGCCGGTGAACTCACCTAGACCGACCAGCGCGGTCACCAGCGCCGCCTGGACCAGCATGGCTCTGTGCTGGCGCTGCGCGCGCTCCCGAGGTCTGCGCTGTGCGCCTCCGGGCTCGACTGGCGTGCGGTGCTCCTGTGCGGTCCCCTCCGTCTGCGCTCACGTGCACGCCGCGCGACGGCCGCCGCTCGAGTGAGGCCAGCGGCGAGGCGAGGCGAGGCGAGGACCGACGCCGCGGCGTCGGCAGAGAGGCCGGCGGAGAGAGCGGCGGCGGCTAGCGGTACGCGGCGTCACGTGGCTCCGACCCGGTACCGTTGGGCCGGCGCGGCCCGGGTCACGTGACGGCCGCCTCCCGGCCAGCAGGTGAGGCCTGGAGGCAGAGTAATTCCTCTGCGCGTACAGTGGCAAGATGAAAACGGGACGAGGGTGGATGAGGGCAAGGATACTAGAGTAAAAAAGCGGAAGACTGGGCGAAGGCAAGTAGTTTGGAATGCTAGTGGAGTGTAGAAAACAACCAGTTTTTAAAGAAAGAAACAAACGCCTTTAAGTCCTTAAGCACATGTAACGATTTTCAGTAATGATGTTTGAAGAAGCAAATTTGAAAAAAAGTATTTGTAACTTGCACAAATAAAGAGAATCTGGTGTTTGAAAAACGTTACTACCAAACAGCATATAACAAGACATCGACCTTGAATATATCAGGTCGGATGTGCCGCCAGGGCTGATGTCGTGTTCTACCAAATAAACCTGCCGAAGCCAGGTGTTGCAGAACAAGGTGATCAACCACAATGGACGCAGAACAACCCGAGTGCTGCTGCATCAGCAGGCAGAGTGCGCTGCGCTGATCCAATTACCAGCATTGCTTCCATGTTTGGGAGTGCCACTACAGGCGCTTTCATGTTTAGAAGCACCATTTCTCTTTGGCGGGTTTCTGTGTTAAAGACAAAACTTCGCAGAGTTGTCGTAGTACAAAGGATGCATGCCTGGTGAAAAGAAGAACAGCATATGGAAGTGGTACAAAAAAGCATGTCTTCATTAACAAAAGAATCTTTCGGGCGTACCTAATTCTCTTAAGCAGTGATTGAGTGACTGCTTGTAAGCAGAGCGTGGATCTGGGGCTTGGGCGTGGTTAGGGACTGAAGGTGGACGAATAAGTGGAACACTACGACATGTGGTAAACATGTAATGCTACATGTGTGCACTGATTGTTGCGTAGCATATGCGACGCCACATCGCACGCACACGCCACGCCGCACACATTGCACACGCCATATGACATGTGTGAAATGATCATACCTGTACTGATGGTCAATGCTGCTGCTTCCTGAAAATTGATGCGACAGCATGACCTGGGATTGTATCCTCACCCATTGCAGTCCTAATAGCTTAGATTAGCGTGCTGCCCCAGCTTGAATAAACGCAGTTAAAAACACGAATATTCTCAGCGTGTTGTTTGATCCTGCTTGACCTCCAGCCCCTAAATTATTTTTACTTACCTGAAGGAAACTGCTATAAATCAAGCTATGTTAAAAATGTTGCTGCTGTCTATCACCCTGGCTTATTTTCATGAACTGGCATATGTATTACTCACTACGCGTTGACCTAATGAGCGATCTGACCAACTTGCGGTGTAGGGTTGCAATAACTTAAGGTTAGTTTTCTCAATAATCGTGGAGCACATTGACCATCGAGTTAATGCATACGCTACTTTCGGGCACTGGTGCTTAGCTTGGTTTGGTAATTAGCACATCGCAGCGCTATAAGCATAAAAGCATAAGCATACGCCGATCACAGCATATTTGACAATAATTTCGATTTGATATGAATTATGACGTAATATGTGACCTTCACTTGTCCTTGGCTTGTTGCGATTGGAACATGTGTTCTGCATCGCATGAACTGCTGCAATCGATTGCTGTTTAATCGCCGGAACCTATTCCAAAGACAGTCAAATAAGGAAACAATAGTCGCAGAATCCCGAAGGTAGATAAATATCTCAGCAAGTGCCAGGGCAATGGCAAGAAAGATCTTACGTTTATCCTCGCATCTAAAAAAATCCTCGCACTAACAAAGGTACAGGAATCTCTCACGCTGCAATTTCTAAAAGCGCTGTGGGATGGTTTGTGGTTTTTTATGTTTACATTATCTATTCCTACAGCATCTTCAGCTTACGAATAGGTGGGTAGTATTGAAACCCACATGCATCTGAAGTGAAAAGTTACTGTTATTTTTATCACCCCGATTCTGCCATAAGCCATAAGCCATTACCGCTAGACATGATTCCACTCCCGCTCATCCGATTTTTGGAGCGTTTTGGATTTTTGACCCAATTAGGTCCCTGCCTAAAAACGCTTGCGTGGAAAGGGCGACCAACATTGCCCACTTTGAACACTCGAAGAAGGTTAGAGTCGTTCTACCGCAAAGGAGGGCTTGAGCTAAAATCGAGCCATTAAACAGACTACAGCAGAAGCCAGACGACGTTTTCTCTGTGAGATTTCCTCGCGACTTCACTGCTTTTTTGGCTGAGCGTGATGAGCACGTCAGCAGATGCTGTCCGATGTCAGCGCCAGATCCCGGCTCGGATGCTGCCGAACCAGCTGTCCAGGCGGACTGGTGAGCAGGAGGCACGCAGCTCACATGATGCGGACAACTGTTGCGTCCCACAAAGCACCATCCATCAACCGCTCGGACCAGACAGCGGCGAGGCCACGGCCGCCGCGCAGAACAGATGTCCTGCGCGGAACGGCGCGGACGCATTCCTCCGG